TTCAAGTATGATTAACGTCACTTGACCCATAAATCAGGTTTTATCTTTATATTATTTTATTATTGTTTTAAAAGAAAGTTGATAACTTAAAAAAAAAAGAGAGAGAACTACTTGAAAATTCAAGTGTGATGCACGATTGTAAATATTTGGTAAAAATGCACGATTGTTAATTGCTGTTCCACAGTTGCGATCATGATATCGTCATCATAAAAGCCAACCAACAAACTTTGATAATCTATGGAAAAAGTAAATAAAATGAATGGACTAACCTCAGATTTTTTTTTTATTTTTTTTATTTTTTCTTTTCCAGTTGCAGACTGGCCGTTTCTTTTAATTGCCAGGCAAGTTTCGACATCAAAAAAGCCAACCAACAAACTTTGATAATCTATAGAAAAAGTAAATAAAATGAATGGACTAACCTCAGATTTTTTTATTTTTTATTTTTCTTTTCCAGTTGCAGACCGGCCGTTTCTTTTGAGTGCCAGGCAAGTTTCTAACCAAAGTCCACAAGTCATCATTAAAGTCTTTTTCTAGTTGCATACCTCAGTGATATCTCAATGTTTCCAATTTTTACCTTCCCGCAACTGCTGCATTTTCCCTCAAGGGTCAAAGGAGTTGGGATGTACTCAACAGGAGCTTCCCTTTGAAAATTGGGGAGGTGGAGCCATGCTATCGACTGGAATTGTTGGTGTCCTGGGTCTTGGGTCTCATGACTACCACTTCTAGGATTCCATCAGACCGAAAATTGGGAGAGAACAGCCGGGGATCGACAGGTCCAGGCAGATTAAAAGAAATGGTGAATGGCCCAGGAGGATTTCTTTGCTGAAATTTCATCTGGTATATTGTAGATGAGCTTTTCAGTAGTCCTTGTACATTTGGTACCACGCCTTCTATGTGAACCCTTCCATCACGTTGGATCTCACATTTCAGATTACCTGTCAAGGTAAGCATTAAATCTTAGGTCATTACCCACAAATTATTTGTGTAACACGATAGCAAGTGTCACATAGAACTGATTACACACTTAGCAATGCCACCTCATATCCAACAACAATAGTGCTAAGGACTAGGAAGGGCACTTCCATCAGTGCTCCACCTACTTCCACAAGAATGGTACATCTAATGCTTCATTGGGATACTTAAGAGATAGAAACCTTACTTTGATTATTCCTGATACCAGGCAATGCAACTCGGAAGAGGTAGGCACTTTGACTAATGCCGATGTCAATAAGACCAATGGGTGGACCAGTGCTACCTTCCTTTGCAGTTCCAGTTAAAACAATTGGTGGCTTCATCTTTGGATTGTGTACATGATCTTGTCCAACCATGCTTCCACTTTTGCTTCCCTCTATAGATCTGTCCGTTTAGTTCCCAAGACACAAGCAGTCAAGCATAAATCAAAACCTCATGAAGTAATTGAACTGTGCAAATGTTTGCACATTGGTGTGGTCAGTTCTCTACACGGTGTTTTGCAGTGATCACAAATGTTCTCACATCTGCAAAATGGAAAGTAGCTGGACCTGAAACTTATCTGCATCAGATACTAAAGAGTGGCATATTCTGATAAGTGCATCCATCTAACACAAACAGTAATGTCTCTCAGCACTCAGCGATGAATTTCACTAATCAACTTATCATGTTATACATATAGATCATATGCAATGCAACAAAAAGAGGAAAGGTTTTCCACAATCAATTATCTCATTTAAAAACTGTGAAAAGCAATGAGTAGAAATTTTCAGGTATCCAAATTAAAAGACCATCCAAGTTTTCCACATGTCACTCGTTCTATCCTAAGGCCATGTTCATAGAATCCATAATAAATTTCAATCCATTTTGGAGACATGTACAGACAGCACCAATCAAATTACCATTTCCCCCATTCAAAAATCAAACACGAAAATCACATATCATGGAAAACTATACACTAAACAGTGAAACAAAGCAGCAGCTAGAAGCAATAGTTGCTTTTAAGCAACAGATAGAAAAAGATACCAAGCTTGTGTTTTCCATGTTGCTTCCACACTTTCTACATAGACACCCACATACAAAAAAAGAAAAAGATATTGACTTTGAATCCTCGTTTCTATGAGAAATTATGCAATATAGAACTCCACGAGTTAACCATTGATGATGAAAGAATACTGACAATACAATACATCACAAAATTCCTTCAACGAAGCATTCAATGGTCCAATAACAAGAAATTTGAACAAAAAGGAATATCCTTTGGAATCCATTAACCAAAAAAATCAAAAAAGTTCTAAGATTGAGCAGACTAACATCGAACCCTATACGGGCATACATCATCGCTATTGACATTCTAATCTACAGCAACAAGAAAAGATTTCGATTTGAGCTACAGTTAACGGCGAAATATACGTATTACCGTTAGCTGTCCGGTGAAAATCGATGGCGCGGTGCGGCGATACTCTGCCCGGTGTCTTCTCCGGCGACGGGAAGGAAGGATCAGGGGGTTTCCCGATTTGCGTTTCCAAAATGGAGTGGCTGTTACTGGTTAGTCAAATCGGATCCCTAAATACCAGTGGTGGAAAGAATCAGGGCCGCTGCTGTTACTGCTTATATGTTCAATGACGGATTTACCCTTCATATTATTTTAATTTTTGCCAATTCTTTTTTGGTAATTTTTATTTTATTTTATTATTTTTCATTTGAATAGAGGGAAAGTGGATAAGCTGTTGTGATTGTTGTCACTATCAAAAAAATATATAATTGTTAATTTTTAGTGTTATTAATGATTCAATTATCTGAATGGAAGGAATTCGATTTTTCTTAAATAAAATTTTGAGTTTGAATCTTGTGAATGGAAAAATAAATATTGAGAGAGTTTCCTTCTTATAGGATCTGACGTGATTCGATTCTGCATTAATCAAAATCAATGTGACTTTCAAATACTAAGAGGTTAGTATTAAAAAAAATTAATTTTTAATTTTTTTAAATGGTGTTTAAAAGTATTATTTTGTTTATTAATTTTAATTTATTAATAAATAAATATTAATTATTTTATTAATTATTAATTATTAATTATAGTTATTAACTATTTTTATTAAATAAATTAAATAAAATTAATATTTTTACATACAACTTTTTTTTTTTTTTTTTGTGGTCTTAACATTTTGTTTAGTGGTCATGCATGACACTACTCACATAAGCCATAACACTACTCGGGTAAGGGGATGCCTACTTAAGGATTCCAAGCATGGTGAAAAGTGTTTATAAAAAAAGTTTAGGGGTGAGATTGCAATGGTTCAAGGACAATACATGTCCGACTAACTAATTGCCTATGCAGGTGCGGGTAATCGAATTAGAGAGAAGCAATTAAACCTAAACACAAGTAAAGGTATCGAAATTTATTAGCTAACTGAGTCAAATTATTGTACAGGTTGAATTTTTATTAGGAGTATGAGTTTATCATTAATAAATTTTCCTTGTCATCAAATATAGATATGTAAATGGCTATTCGGAGGTGAGAGAGGAGAGTGTGACTATTGAAAATGGCATAGGAGAAATTTGAAATTATATTTTCAAGCATAATTCATATCACTTCACATTATAAAAACCAACTTCAATGAGTTTATTGTTATGAATCAGTTTATTATTAATGTTACACGTTTCTCATCTTCTCAACTCTCCACTTTACATGGCATTTATATAGCAAGTAATGATATAACTTTCACTATCTCTTTATATAATTATAATAGTGATTGATACTCTATAATACCTTGCAGTTAGATGATGATAATGAAATTCTTTATAACTTCTTTATTAGTAAGTGATTAATCTTTGTATCCTTCCATTTAATACGTGTTCATTCCATATTACTCATTTTACTTATAGACTCCTTTATATAAAACTTGTACTCTTGCAAATATTTGAAATAAAAAAAGAGTGAAAATATAATATCTTTGCATTGTTTCTCTTTTTTTTTTTTTTCTTCTTATGATTGATTCTTTTTTTTATTTTATAACATTTATTAGATTATTTTTACTTAAATATTGTTATATGGAAAACAAGGTAATGGAAAGCCTAATTTCATTCTTCTCCATATAGGAGAGGGAGTAAACTAACTGAAGCCTCTTAACACTTCAATTGTTGTTAACATGTTAGCAACATGCATACCACTACTTCATCCAAGGGAAATTAAAGAAAAGGAGATGAATGTGTTGGGAGGACTGCGAATTCAATTCAATTCCAAAAAGTGGAAGTTGTAGGACCAAAATCTGAGGATCTGATGTGATTCTCGAGATATTCCAGACCAGATTCCAAAGCAATTCTTTGCATTCTCTTGTCTCTCTGATTCCATGCATCTTGGATTGGATCTTAATGTGCTTTGCTTTTTCTTCAATGTACAAAGAAAGAAAACAACTCAACTTCATTCATCAAAATACCAAACTTGCTGTGTGTAGTTTGCTACTAGTATTTTCTTGATCCAGAACAAGCTCTAATTCTCTTTTTCTTTCTGTCTTTTACTTTTTGCCACTCATCACCAACCTATAAATTTCAGGCAGGGTAACACTGTTAAGGAAAGAATGCACTTTAGGCCCACCAAGAGGCGAAGAGATGATGATCTCTTTTTTATTTTTGGGGACAAAGGAGATGATCTTGATGATGCAAAATTGTAAGGTTTCGTTGCCTCAAAAGACAAGTCACAATCCTGACTGCTACAATGAAATTAAAGCTAAGTTGGACCCGTCAAACCCAATGATTTCAAATTCTTGAGACTCACATTTGCTTTGGACCTCTCAAGCCATCAGATGGAAACGTTTTCTTGTTATCTGGTTTTTCTTCTACTATATGTTTTCTCTTTCAAAAAAGCAGAGAAAGCAAAGGGGAATATGTATAGTTTTAGAAGCAGACTCTAAATCCCAAAACTCCCCCACTTTAATGTTTATTCCATCTTTTTGCATGTCCCCTTTCTTAGCTATATATATAGCAGCCCTAACAATTTCCCATATGTTCCATTCAATTCCCATCTCATCATTCCCTCTCAGTGTTTCTTTTTCTAGCTCCCCTACTCCTTGGATCATTGGTGGATCATCCATAAATCATTTTCAAAGTTCAAACAAGAGCACATCATGGAGGTAAAATGCCTTGTATATATTTCTTCTTCTTTCATTGCAAACATTCAACTCTCCAAGTCTCAACAGTCATATTCGAACCTTGAGACGTGCAGGGGTATTCTTAGTTTTATACCCCAACATCAAATGTACCAAAAACATACAATTTTACAGTTGAAGAAAGCACTTTTTGATTCTCCATTAATCAATCATGTGATGTGATTCTGCAGACTGTTGAATTGAAGGTAGATATGGTCGGCATACACGAAAAGAGGCTGAGGAAATGCCTCTCAAAGCTGAAAGGTATGTGAGTTGGGATTGGCATGCTCAGCTCAGTTTCTGATTTGGAGGAATATCTACAAATCAAAACAACATGACCAAACTAATTAATTCATCTTCCCAATGCAGGCATAGAGAAAGTGGAGGTGGATGCAAATAGTCAGAAGGTGATAGTCACTGGATACACTCACCGGAACAAGATACTGAAAGCCATCAGGAGAGGAGGCCTCAAAGCTGATTTCTGGTCTGCACAGAATGAGCTGCTCAGTGCTTATGCCAGTGCAAGCTATGGAAGCTTAAGATTCAACAACTTCAACTTCTTTTAGGATTGAATTTTTCTTCCTGGTCTTTTCATCATTTTTTTTTTCTTTCCCCATTTACAATTACAATTATGAGAATGAGATTACATTGATAGACCAATTACCAAGGTCATTTCCTTGTTTTGATTTTTCGATCCTTTTTTTTTTTTTTTCTGATTTTGTGTTAGCCTTTTACTTTTTCAAAGGAAGCATCACATGTTAAGGGATATGAAATGTTATACATTGAGTGATTGAGAAGAATACTCACATTCATATTTTTCCTGGTGGCTTCCTCTCCTCGATATCAGTGGCTCATATTAATTTGTTATTTTTATATATTTATTCTCAAATTAATTAATTTTTATAACTATTAGTAAAAAAATAACATTTAAAAAGGGATAGATAAAAGAAGAAACAATTACAAATGCATGTTATAGAAAAGAAAGTGTGCCCCAAAATTATAGTACTCTTGCTCTAAAAAAATGCTCTCCACTGTTATTTTCTTCCAGTTATTCTCCAAACCTCTTGATTAGAACCAATTATACCCTTTCCGACCTCCTAGTGGCTGAGGCCGACGGACACATTCCAAGAATTAGGGAGCTAGAGAGCCTCCACCAATGTAGGGATGTCAATGACCCTCGCGGGGTCAAGGAGTCCCTTCCCGTCCCCATCCTCGTGAATGGCGAGACAGGGATTCGTGTGAGAATTTTTGACAAGAGCAGATTTTGCCCCCTATTCTCATTCTCTGCAAGGAACGTTGATTCCTGCGAGAATTTTCATTTCCCACCAATTAATATTTAAACATATATTTTTTACGTAAAACATAAATAAAGATTAATTTAAAATAAATAATTAAATCAATAAACTTGTTCTAAACATAAATAAAAATTAATCAAACATAAGCTGTTCCAAACATAAGCTGTTTGAATTGGTGGTGGAGCTTGAAATGATCAATCAACACTTTGTTCTTGTGTATTAGATATTTATCACCTAAACATAAATAAATAAATAAAAACAATTATGCCTTTACATTGAAATATAAAATAAACTTTGAATTTTTCTCTAATTAATGGAAATTCTTCCCTTTCACAATTTCACTAGAATTCACAGTAAACTCTAAAAATTTAATAGACAGCCAAGCATTCACAGTTTTCTCAATTTCTTGATTTTATGGAGAAGCTACTACACTTTTTTATGTTATATGTATATCAGTATAGGTAAAGAAATTAACTAGGCAATTCATTAATAGAAATGGCTATGAGTAGTCATTGAATCTAGCAAATGCTAGAAAATCTAGACTTTCTCTATGTTAAATCAACCCATAAACAAATTATTTAAACTTCTTACCATTTGGCGCTATAGCTTGTAGCCGTAGGTGGAGTGGTTCGGCAGCAGAGATAGTTCAGCAGCTCAACAGTAGTCGCACAAGCAGTTTAGGAGTCTGTAGATCGACTTCGACTTTGACTTTGTGTAGCAGCAGTAGCAGTGGCGCAGTAGGGGCGCAATAGCAACAGCAAGGGCAGTGCAGCAGTCCAGACTCCAGACGAATTTGGTTCAGCAACAGCAATCCAAACTCCAGATGGATCCAGTTCGGCAGCAGCAATGTGTTCGAAGCAAAAGGGTGAGATGTGAAATAGAGAAGGGTAGAAAGGTGGCAATGAAGGGAGTCGAGGGATTTACAATTCGAGATTTGTAGGGGGAGGGCCAAAGGGGAAGGTCGAAAGTGACATAGGTGACAGACAAAGATAGTTCGAGAGTGAGAGGTAGAGGTAGAGGCAGAGGCAGTGTGAGAACTGGAGAAATGAAGAAGGTTACTTATGGTTAAAAGGATTGGGTTGGGTTGGGTTGGAAAAAATTGGGTTAAATTTTATTGAATTGGGTTTGGGTTTGAAAATTATATTAAATTTAAAATAAAATTAATTTATATATATTTTTGAAATTTTTCGCAAGGATGGGGATCCCCGCGAGGTCCCACATTGCAGGGAAAATTCCCCGCGAAATTTCACGGGGGTCCCCAATCCTTGCCTCGTCAGAAGGAATGTTCCCCCCGCTCCATCCCCATGGCAAGAATCCCTCGCGGGAATCAGAGTAAATTGCCATCCCCACACCAACATTTGAAAATTTCCTTGATGGATTTGGAAGTTTCTAAATTTTACAAATATATTTAGTGGTGTCTTTTTAATCAATCTTATTATAATATTTAAAAATATTATAATTTAATTAATAAAAAAAATTATTAACAATTTAAATATTTCAATAATAATATTTTTTTATTAAAAATAAGAATTCATGAATTTAAATTACATAATATATATTTGAAATGAGTAATTAAAAATTTTTAAAAAAATTCTACTCCTTATTTTTGTTTTGTTTTTTTTTTTTTTTTTTTTATGTTGGTTGCACAATAGAAGGCAACTCTTTCTCATCCCTTATCTCACCCCACCCGCATGCCATGTAGCTCGAATTCAAGACCTCTTACTTCCAATGGAAAGAGATTACCACTAAACTATCACTAAACTACTTAGGTTGTTGATCTTTTTTCGTTAATCCTTAGATATTATAAATTATAATTATTTACTTTAACCCTAAACATATCATGACTATTAAGTACAAAAAGTCTTTTCCTATGATGATATCAATAAGGATAATGATGGGTTTATCCTTATTATCCACATATTCCATTACACCCTTCAATTTTCATTACTTTTCATTAATTACATCTTAACTCCGTTACCATCTTTCCTTTCTCCTACTTGCTGTTTATCGTCCTCACCAGCTAGATCCATCTTACTCCTCATCTCCATCCTCATCCTCTTCATCCATTATCTTCTTCCTCTTTCTTTCTCCCTTGTTTTTTTTTTTTTTTTTCCTCTCTCTCCTCCATCATCCTTTTCCAAGAGAACCCACAGGGTTCTTCAAGAGAACCCAGATCTGGGTTCTCTTGAAAAAGAACCCATGGGGAAAAAGAAAAAGAAAGGAGGAGGGAAAAAAAAAGTTGAAAATCAAAGAACCCTCCTCACCTCTATCCTCATCCTCTTCATCCATTATCTTCTTCCTCTTTCTTTCTTCCTTTTTTTTTTTCTCTCTCTCTCCTCCATCATCCTCCTCCAAGGGGACCCGTGGGTTCTTACGCAGAACCCAGATCTAGGAGAAAGAAAAAGAGGGGAGGAGAGGGAAGAAGAAGAAAATGAAAGGAGGAGGAGGGAAAGAAGGTTGAAAATCAAAGAATCAAGATGAAATTGCAGGTTTTGATTTGACTAGTGAGGACGGTAAACAGCAAGAAAGAGAAAGGAAATATGGAAATGGAGTTAAAGTGTAATTAACGAAAAGTAACAAAAATTGAAAAGGTATAACGAAATGTGTGGATAATGAAAATAAACCTATCATTGCCCTACCAATAAAGCTAAAACTTTTTCCAAATGCAATAACTTGTGTTCCCATATCCAATCCAAGAATTACAGTAAAAAAAGCCGCGTTGGCTTGGCCCACGGTTAGAAGAAATATTCAAAGCCCGCCCCATCTTCATCACGAAACCCGTGAGAAACGGAAAATTGCCTGTCCCCATGGGAAGACCAAGACCAAGACCTACAGTCAACATCTTCCCATACAAACTCTTCCCCATTTTTTTTTTCTCCTAATATATAAAATACTAAAAATATTATGAGATATACAAATAAATAGATATTTCTCTTTTATCTTTTTTTTTTTGTTTTATTAGTTAAATCAGTGAGCTTTATTTATTAATCTACATTTTATTTATTGAATTATTAAGTCTTATTCATAGAATCACTATATTTACAAAATTATAATAATTAAAAAATTAATAACGAATTTTATTCAATATTTCACTTAGTTCATAAAATTTCAATTAAATTTATATAAAATTCCTTCTCCCTTAATCTATATATAAGTTTATATTGTATAAAAAAAATAGAGTAAAAGAAATAAAAGAATGAAAAATTATACTTATTTTTCTTATGTGTTCTACTACCTTATTTTATTTTATTATTTTATCCTTATATATTTTTATTTGTACTAGAGTATAATTTATTTTATAATAAAAAATATTTTTCTAATTAAATTGTGCAGCAGTTGGATCTATATATTATTAAAATATA